CTGGTCCCTGTTGCAGCCTAGGGAACAGAGCATGGCTCCAGGCCAGTGTAGAGTTGGTATTGCTGCTAGAGCACTGGGTTGGAGCATGCGCTCTGTGCTCCATCCTCCAGGCTGCAGCAAGGATGGGCCTGCTGGCACGAAGCATAGGTAAGAAGAAGTGCAGCAGAAAGGCAGAAGCGGTGTAGCAGGGGAAACTGAGGCCTGTGGAGAGAAAAGTGGTGGGGTATGCATGGGACAGAAGACAGCTGCAGCTCCTGCCCTGGTTGCAACCCTGAGCTGGGGCCAGACCCATGACAGCTGCCTGTCCTTCTCCGCCGCCTTATACTCAAATGTAAGGCAAGGGACTGCCCTCTCCACATCGTGCGTCTGTCCCCCCACCCCGCTCAAGTTAAATGGGGAGAAAACCTTGTCTTCTAATTGAGTGGCTATGGTAATTCTTTGCAAAGAACTCAGGAAGACTAACAGCTCAGAGTGCTTTTAATGGTACGGATTCCTATTTGAAATTTCTGGGTGGAAACAAATTCCCATGTTTGCACAACTAACAGTGCTAACATCCTTGAAAAGGCCTCAAGATGTCCCAGGGTGCTGCAGCACCCTGGCTGAGAATCACTGCTTTTATACCCTTTTTACTTTCACTCCTATACTCCATGCTACATACTAAAAGCATACAAGTATTTAAAAATCTTGAAGAACTTCTACATGAACTCCAGGAGTGATGTGAAAAGTGAATAAGAGAAAATGGACAAGGAAAATATATTATTTAAGGGCCCTGCTACACCTTGAAATTAAAGCTAGACAGAAACCAGTTATATAGTTGTTACATATTTTCAAGCACTAACTTGATAGCTGGTTGGCTCTTTATAGCTGGACAGACATTTTTACCATGTTGCAATCACTTTGTATGTGCAGCCAGTCTAAATCTATTGCGTGACTTACCAGTTAGTTGTGTAATGTATGTCATACATCACAGGGGCCTAAAGCATACAAACACTTGCGTCTGTGCAAGGTGAAGTTAGGACAGGAGATTGCACTGCTATATCTTTTGGCAGAAGCAAAGATAATTTCCTTCCAATTTTTCATTTTTTGCCACATTTTAACTGCACACTGCATAACATTTTACTGCTTTTGAAGCAGGTTTCCCCCACTAACAGCCTTTTAAAAGAAATTGGTAATGGCCATCAGTACTGAATTTCCAGAGTTGCCAGTAAGAACCAGCAACTTACCAGTTCCTTTAAGGAGTGACTGTACCTTGCTGACCTTGTGGCAGACAACACAACAAGGAGTAACAGTCTTAAGTTGCAGCAAGGGAAGTGTAGGCTGGATACTAGGAAAAACTCACGAGGAGGGTGGTGAAGCACTGTAACAGGCTACCCAGAGCAGTGGTGGATTCACCATCCTTGGAGGTTTTTAAGACCCAGCTAGACAAAGCCTTGCCTGGGATAATCTAGTGGTGGATGGTCCTACTTTGAGCAGGGGGTTGGACCTGATGACTTCCTGAGGTCCCTTCCAACCCTCATTTTCTATGGTTGTATTTGGAGGGAAGTCAGTCATTCACTCGTCATTTTATTCATTGAAAGGTGTTGGTCAGTATTTTGTATTCTTTTTAATTTTATGGCATGGAATAGCCCTGTTCGGAGCAACAGGGTGCGCTAGATGCGACCTCCGAAGGTCCCTTCCAACTCTAGTTTTCCGTGACTGTACTGAAGAGGAGCCCAACCCTGGTACCTCTGAACTCTGGCGTGAAAAGCAGAGTCTGCAGCAGGGAGTTGAGGTAGCAGGTCCCGCCCTGGTTCTTAATCCCACTTAAATGGGTGACCTCCCTCGGGGCCGGCGGCTCCGCATCCCGCGTCTTGGCCTTCTTCCCGGGGCCACAAGGGAGGCCGGGCGCAAGGGACGGCTCCTCCTCGAACAGGTCCCCGAACATCGCGGCACCGCCACCGTCCCTACGAGTCAGGTCAGGAGAAACGGGCGTCCGTGAGAAACGGGCTCCAGTCGACAGGGCCGCCCCGCCCCCGCGCGCAGCTTGTCCCCGCAGGGAGAACGGGCCCGCGCCCGCTCCCGCCTCCTAGGCCGCGCGGGGCAGCCGTAGGGAGATGCGGTCCCCCGCGCTCACCCCTCACGGCCGGGACCCGGCGCCAACTTCGCCCCGACTCCAGCCCCCCACAGCCGCCGCCGCCATGTTTGTTGTGACGGGAGGAGCCGCGGGGCGCGCTGGGAGCGGTAGTCCTCGGCCTCCGGGCTCGCAGCCGCCCCCTGCGCGCTTGGACTACCGCTCCCACAATGCCTCTGACCCAGGCGGGCGGGAGACATCACCACATGTCCTGTTTTTTATCTTTCGGCGGGCACGCGCTGGGAGAATAGCCTGCTGGGAGGACGCCGCCGCAGGGATTTCTGGGAGCTGTAGGCTGCTGGCAGGCCCTAGCCCCCCCACCTTCCCCGTTGTGGGCGTTGTGATTGGCTGGGCGGCTCCCTGAGTGCTCACTGAACCAATAGGCAGCGCGTTCTGAGAGGCTTAACCCCGCCCCCGAGGTTAACCAATAAATTGAACGGTGCTGGGAGCTGCGATGGTGCCTGAGCCTTGTGGTGGGGCTGACGTTACCAGGCTTCCCCGGTGCAGCAGGGGGCGCCTGAGCCTGTGACAAGGGTGGCGAGGCCTTAGTGCCCTCCTAGCCTGTGCCAGCCCCCAGTGCAGCTGTGGGCAACAGCTGGGCATGGTCTCAGTGGTCCCAGGATGTGTTCCCCCTGCTGCTGCAAGCAGATGTGGCTAGGGGGGAACCTGTCCCTGTAAGACAGCAGTCTCGGCCAGGGCCAAGCAGCAGCCTCCACTTCAACCCCCGCTGGGTGGGGAGGGCCCTGGCATTGAGCAAGCAGACACCCCATCCCCTAAGCTGTGTTGCCAAGTGCAATGAGTTTGGGTTGTGTCATGTTTAGGGGCAACTGGAGCATGACAAGGGGAGAGGCGTCGTGACTCGCTGTGGGGGTGTTGTGCACAGTGCGAGCACAGGGAAGGCTTCACAACACGGGCTGGTGGAAAGGCTGGGGCAACAGGGTGCAAAACACTTTTGCTACGCCTCTGAGGCTGAGCTCAAGTCTCCCAGACAGAATTTGGAGCCGTTCTGCATTAGGCTCACAGTGGAAACTTTCCTGGGGATGTAGAGGCCACATTCACGGAGGACACTGTCAGAGAAAAGGGTTGACCAGCTACTGCGTAGCACCCATACACCGAAGGGTGTGCTCATACACCGAGGAGCACTGGCCACGTCCCGTCTCTGGACTTGTTCCTAGCTGCAATCAATTTGCAAAGAACGAGGGAGTGTCTGCCTTAAGTTTATTGCTCTGCAGAGGGGTACTCAGTGTCACAAAGACAAAGAGCTCTCCCCGAACTGAGTTTTCAGCTTGGTATTTACACATTAAGTATTGCTTTGCTACATTGTTGTGCGGCATCTAGGTTTTTCCTCTTGCCGTTACAAAATTACAAAACACAATACAGAGCAAGCTTGGGCTAGTTTAGACTGGTTTCGCAGTTACATGTTACTGTCAGCGAGAAGTACACGTCACTTACTGTCA